TTTCCAACCCATGCTTAGAACAAATATACTAGGAATTGCGATAAGTTTTAAAAACTATAATACCATTCCTGCAATAGTACAACAGAAAAACTATTCGAATATCCTTGTTTTAAAGCTAATTGAGTCTTAATAAATTTAATAAATAATAAAGAATTTCCTTCATAACGGAACATAATTAACAAAAGCATCGCATGAACGCCACAATAAACTTGTCGGTGCAATTAATACTTAATTCATAATAATTATCAATAAACTATCTACAATCAAATGAGACGTATAATTAAATTATGGTACGCTCTCTTTATTCATTTTTACTGGCTTTTATTAAACTTGTAATAAACGTTCGTGGTTTGTTTGTAAAGTGGAATTTTGCAACTAAATGTAGAAGGTGATTTTTATTGAGCTCACATTAAAAAAGTTGTTGTTTTTATTATTCAACTTGTTTACTTAATATATGATATTTGAACAGGCATTTAAATAGAAAAAGACTAGATTATCCCACCTGATACGGGACAAGTCAAGCATCTAGCTCCAAAAAAGCCTTAGAAACTACACACTGAGTCCAGAAGTACTGCTTTCTGCATCAGGCCAAACATTTTTACGTTAGGTTAGCCAACCCATGTGTTGGTCATCCATCTGATAGCAATTCAATGATCTGATAACAAACCTTAGCTATTTGATTGCATTGAAAAAAGTTCGCATATTTACGTATGAATTTAAAAAAATATTAGTCGACTTCATAAGTAATTTCTCAGCATTGCCTCGCTCACACGACGAAACATATCGCAAGCGTTAATTCACGACGATTTTTTCGCGGTCGGTATCACTTCAGTCGAGCCTACTCACTCTCAACAAAACATGATGAACAATTTGTAATTGTTCGTATTTTTGTTCGTTTTAATATCAACAACGACTGTACAAGATGTTTCTAAAAGTCTTAATCAAATTGAACGGGGAGAGAAGATAAAAGTCATTTCCAATCACTGAAAATGGCGGTGCCGTCGCCGGCGTTACAATCTCGCAGTAAGCTTTTACAACACAAAAATTGTGTAGTGATAATAAACGTTTTAAATGGATATGAAAAGTTTATTCAATTTTTCAAATGAATAATTATTTGAATTAATAAATTGTATGTGAATGAATTAAAACACAGTTGAATAGCAATATGTTTTATATACGCCAGTTTCGTTGTTCGAAGTAAAACCAAAGATCCTGGAGCTATCGTAAAAACAATGTGTTGAACACTTAATTTCATTTCTGTTTCAGAATTTATTTTACAATGCGTGTAGATAAGCCTTTAAATCAATTTTCCGGTTAAACGACGAAATATCTCTTGCCATACCTAGCCTTACTAACATGGCAGTGTGATTTAAAAAATTGTGTTATAAGTTTAGGAAAAATAAGAACGAAATAGAATTGCTGAATATTAATTAGATTGTTTCCCTACTTTTGTTCGTCGTTTCTTTTTCTAGACAGACCAATTTGTTATTATAATACTAAATTCAAATATATTATAATTACGCTATGGAAAATGTTCATATTAAAATATAATTTCATATTTCATAACTGCAAAGCCAAAGTGTTACAGTTTAACATATTTTACAAAATTAAGCCGAACCGTTAAGTGACGCAGATTTTCAAAGATATTTATTTTTGTCAAGAATAATTACTCTTTGTGTATCTACGTACACTATTACCGATGAAGATCGCCGAATTAGAATACTAGAACTTCCCAAGTTCCTATGAGCTATAACTCAGATTAAGTCCTTTCGTATTGCGGGTTGGTCGGCAGAGTCATAAATAACTAACTCGACGTGGTTGCAGTCATCTCAACTGGGAAATGCCTTTATATTATGTTCCATGTTCTATACAAAAACTTTGGCATAATCCTTTTGATTTCTAAATCTGTTTTAATTTCTAGTATTTAGTATTTCTCGACGTAGAAAATAAGCGCAAAGAGAAGTAATTCAAAGAACAACGCGCTTCATAAATTATGTCGAGGACCTACTTTTCAGACGCAACGACGAAGCTTTAAGACGACTAGTAGGTATATTAAAATACACATAATTATATCTGTCTCGCTCACTCTAATCGCAAGAACTAAACAGGACAAAGATCATTCAAACATCAGTGACAGGCAATGTTTTCCTCGTCATAAAAAAACCGCAACCACGCACTTCAACGAGAAATAAGTTAATTACAAACCTTATTTAAATTGATAAAAATGAATGAAGGTGTTGATAATTAGTCAAGGAGTGCGATGTAGAAAAATTTATGAAATGTTAGTACCTAAGTAATCCGATGCTGATCAATTGGACAAAATACTGAATTACAATTTCTCGTAGATGTTTATTTGCATAAATTACCCGTATTTCATGCAAAAATGACAAAGAATAAATCTTCGTATGGTGATTACGACCACATGGATTAACGTCATTTAAACTAAAAAAGTCTCTTTCAGCAAGTAGATATTTAAAAAAAAAACATTCGATTAAAGAAAACAATTTTACAGAATAGAAGTATTTCATTCGACCCTGTATTTTGCACATTATAACACCTAAATTGAAATTGAAATTCACGGCGATTTATTTACTCATTTGTTCCACTGTTAAAAGTGTGTAGTTTTTAATGTAACTTATGTTTACTTTACGATAATGTTGGACTAACTAGGTAGGTACTTATGTGATGAAAATATTTAAGCTATTGCGCTATTGTGATGATGTTGCCCGGAGATGTGGCATTTCTGAGAGTCAGCGGGGTTGGAATATCTCACACGTATGGGATTGCACAGCGGCGTTGAATCGTAAGCTCGTAGGTACTCAGGACCCGCTCTTTAGCATCCATCGGTATAGTTAGCAAGTAACGTAGCTCCTCGAAATATATAAACAAGAATGTGGTGTATGGATTTTTACACTGTTGGTGTTTAAACGGGATTATTAAGTTCTTGTAATTATAAATCTTGAAAGTTTCTCGATTCGTAAAAGATTAAAAATCTCTTTTCCTGTTTTTTAACATATGTACGTTATGAAATTAAACGTTTGTGTTATCAGTTATAGTATTTGAGAGAAGTGTCGAGTTATTAGGATAAAAGACAAATAGTGCAATAATAGTCAGATAATTTTCGCAGCCAAGGATAAATGATTTTGACTTTTGTATATAATAAAGTATTTAGAAGCGTTCCGCGATATACTTAACCCTGATTTTCTCTAGCTATTTTTAAGACGCAAGTAAGTATGCTTACGAGTATTTGCCGAAAAAGCATTATGACGTCATGTATTGGTATTTCATACCAAATTCATAGAAAATTATAGTTTTTGACTTTTCGATAAAAATATTGAATTTGACTTGGTTAGAAGCTGCCGTATTTTGTATTGTACCATTTGTACCATTCAAAGGTAGGTTTCAATGACTAGTAACAAACTTTTAAAGCTCTGTCTGTTCTTTTATAAATAAAATTTAATAACACTGGAGTGCATGTAGCCAATATTTCAAAGTGAGCCCCGAAATACTTGACCTGAAAATTCTTCTTTTGAGTTCGTTATTGTTTAAAAGGAAATGTGTACAGACAAAGGTGATTGGAAAATATGAACGTCAATTCGTTGACCTCTATACTAATAGGAGATCAATCAACTAAAGCCATGTTTTCTATAATTTCCACCCAGGTCAACACCTAAGCCCAAACTGTAAGTGGAATCTTCACAAGTAGGGTACCGCATTCAAGTCGTTTAATTAAATTTCACTGAACAGTCGCATAATTACAGGTCCGTCTTAGAAAATGTTTAATTTTTAATGCGCTTACGTAGCGGGGCGTCGCTCACAGTAACATTAAAAAATAAAGTGAAATTCGTAACTGGCGGCAACGTGCAGTGGCGTGGAGGTTTTATTTTCTATTATTTTTAATCTAGGGTATCGCGCTGCGAGCCTGCCTGTCACCTTAATGGCATATTTTTATTTGCGCTGCCCCAATATTTGTCTTTTACGTTTGCCCGTGTAACTTCAGTCACCACTAAAAAAGTTGTACAGAAATCGTTAGAAATGTTTTATTACAATAATAATCTGACTTTGACTTTAAAAATTGAACGCAGTCATCTCGTAGCAGACGCTGTTACCGATTAAATGGTTATTTTACTGGAGGGCAGCCAAGAAAACTGGTGGCCACGTACATGTGTATTGAAGGATGGGTGAAATCTTGCTAGGCAGAGTCGTAGATGTTGATTAAGTAAATTCGCGCGGCCGAACTGTTACCTGTTATCTCAATACGCGCCTAATTAGGAACTGAGTCATCGCTCGCCACTTCGGCAGAGGTGTTTCCGTCTTGTATGTTTGTATTGTTGTAAGTCATCTTAGCCCCATTACGGCAATTACAGTGTCTGCATAACAAACACGTAATACATGTGTTCGATGTAATTGCGTTCGATGCATTGAAAAGATTCGACTTTTGCTAAAACGAGTTTCGCTCAAGGTTAATCCAAAGTAGGTAACTACCGCTAATAAAAAAATCGACTGTCAAGGTTATGAGGTTCTTTGATGTTTGTGAATATTTTAGTTTGCTTCTTGTTGAACTAAAGACCTCTTTATGAACTGAAAGTCATTCTTAAACGGTCTCTTGAATGATTTTTGCTTGTATGAGATATTAAGTGGCAGGTACTTATTTATGTGTGCATTGTTGAATAGCCCATTCTCATACATCGGGAATTGTGCTCGTAAATACGATGTTTCCAAGTCCCCACTATATTGTTTCAATATTTCTCTGTGTGCATAAGAGTATTAAAGAGTTTTGTACCTAGTCCTTTACTTATAAAAAAAATATCTTCTTTGACATTGGAATTGAGGGGTTTTGATACAGTTTCTTTATAGAATACAATTATAGGATGTGTATGTTAAAAAAAAGAACAAAAATATAAGACAGGCTGGAAAAAAATACATCAAAATAAAATTTGAAAATGGAACAAATTTGACCATATTGAGTTGTAAGAATATGTATAAAATGCTGCACTGACTTGGTTTGTTATAGCTCTGAGGAGATGCATTGTAGAAGTAGCAGTAGACCCCAAAGGCAAGTACAAATAGCAGCAGCAGCAGGATCCGGGTGGAAAATGGCCGGCAACGAAGGACACGGGTCCTCATTGTGTAATCTGCAAATAATTCATATTTTAAAACCCATTCATATTAATTAAAACTCAATTAGACTTGGACTTGGACCTTAGAGTGTTTTTAAAAATAAAATCAATAAAAGTAGTCTGTTTTTATGTACTTTAAGAAAAACTTGTCATTAAAGTTCTAATCTAGAAGACAAAAGTTTTTACAACTATAGAAACTGGAGCCAAACTTTATAGCCTTACGAAAATACTGTTTACCTGTCTCAAAATTAAAGAAACATATTCCATATAATTTTTATTAATGAAATACATAGGATAATTAGGTCCAATCTAATTAGTTCATTTATTTAGATTAAATATATTTTTATTAAATTAAAAAGTTATAAATATGTATGATAACGAACTACCTACACAAGTGTTAACTATAGCTACCCTGTAACCCTCAAATACCAGCTACGGTGTAATATGTAAACAGACATAGTAGTCACACTGTGCCACTAAATACTTCGCGAAAATAATAATAAAAAATTCTAGAAGTCACTTATAAATAATTCTAGTAAGCCAAAATATAAAATTTTAACTCTTATATAAAAATTCTCCAAAACAAATCCAAAACAACGAAAAAAAAACAATTTATGAAACAAAGTTGAATTTTAATAATTCTAAGCCGCAAATCACACACTAGCGTAGTTTAGAGTACATTAATATAAACCCAATTATCCAAAAACTTCAAATTTCAAAATTAAAATCAAAAGTTCGAACACAATAACGCGACGACAGCTTAAAAAAAATATTGGTCCTTCTTCAATCGACTTGCGTAAACAGTAAACAGCGAAGATGCGGCAAACACTTAAAACTACTTTAAATAAATTAACTCACATTTTTTATATCACGACTTTTTTAAAAACAATGTTTACATTTTATTTTACTCCCAATAAAGTCAATTATTTATTTATCTGCAGTGTAAGTTATCGGCTCACACTTGCATGCGACAGCCAAGCACCACAGCGTGCTCCTAACCCACGGCTGCAATACGATTCAAAGAGTATGTAACCACTACGTTTAAGAGACGGGACTCCCATACAAGCCAGTGGAATCAATTTACACGGCACTCTAATACCTACATTGCAATAAATAAAAGATGTCAGCCGTCAAAATCAATAGTACCAACCTAAAAGACCAAATAGTTCTGTGGTAGCTGTATACTAGGTTTAGTATCGATATCGATAATATTTATAGGGTAGAAATCGAGGTCATATTACTTTTTTAATTTTTAGTTTCGATCTTTAAGATAAAGTTTGGATTTGAAATAAAACATTGTGTTATATTAAAAACTAAAAAATATATTTTTGTAATAATATTCAAATTCATGTTATATAATACTTAATACAAATATTGGTTCAGTAAATTGGTTCTATGGGCACATACACTAAATCTTCTTTGCCAACTTTCACCTACAGCCGGCACCTGAAAAATGGAAAAATTCAAAATGGACAGTCCCTGACATGAATAACTCTAAATTGTGTAAACAGCTGGCGTTCCTTATATAATAAATGCATAAATTTTACAAATACAGTATACATAAATTTTTATCTACGTTTAATCATTAATTTCTTAAAATCTACTGGGTTTGTCGTGTCACAACTTTGTTCAACAACATCTAATAACATCATTACTTCTTTGGTGTGGTCTGGAAAGTAAATCACGAAAGAATACATAAATCAAGGGATCTTTGGAGTTTAGCCCACACATAAGTCTGTGACTATCGATACTTGAGGTACATCACTAGTACACAATAAGTACATGAAAATCAATTTACATGTATTTGTAGCCTTTTATACTTAGAATTAAATAAAATTATATCATTTAATGCTTACCGGTCCTCATCCAAAGGAAATTTCGCCATAAACATCCTTTTCTCGCCATTTTTACAACCGGATCGTCCTCCGCAGATTTCACAAGTTAGAAACCGTTTTTTTGGTGGCATTTTACTTGAACACGTAACTAGTCACAGCCGTATCACTAACCACTAATTAACTAAACAAATTATACGTAAATTTATGAAATTATGAAAATAACAACATAAACTTACAAAAGCAACGACATTCAAAGTTCAAAACTTCAAACAAAATGGCCGACAGATTAGTGAAAGAAAGAGAACTGTACTGAGGGAGTGGGATGGCAATATCCGGCTACTTCCGTGTGCCATTATTTGCCGTGCCAAGCCCATACATTTTTATTTTTCTTCTAAGTTGCGCTAGGCTGATACGATTGGCCAGAATGGCAGCCGAGAAATGACAGCTCGCTACGGTATTGCCAGCTGCGCAGACATATTCTACCACACTACCATTTATTTGACAGTGGCAGGTTGATTTTTTTATTCACAGTATAGATTTTGATGTATGCGTGTTACGAAATGTAAACTCATAACAATGGAATAAAATTGACTAAAAACATTTTTAAACTGTAGTTTTGAATTATTTAAAAATTTCGAACTAGTTATAGAACTTTGAGTGAGTGACAACAGCGCCACCCTGGCTGAATCGAACAATAAGAGGTAACCTGTGTGTGTGACTATTTAGGCTTCACACAGTAGCGAAAGTTAAAAAATAAACATGTCCACAAAAATGTTTGTAATATAGTTATGCTCATATTTGCAAAAGCAAGCCGAGTTTTCTATGTAAAAAAAAGATGAATATTTGAATACTAAGTAATCCAACAACCGGAACGTTTATGTCAATGTCAACAGACTGAATAATGACTTTTGGGGCTACCAGACCCAAAATGTTCCTAAATAAATGGTAAAAACCTAAACTTGAAGTTAGAAAATCGTTGTTTTTTATTATTAACTATTTTATTTAGTCCTTGAAACATGTATTTATGTTACTGACCAAAATTGGGTAGATGCCATGTTTTTCTCTTTAGCTGGCAGCGTTGAAGTATATAAATAGGCGAAGTCTTAAAAACATTTAATGTTATTTCATGAATAAATATTATAGCATTTATTAGTCTATACCAAATATTATTATATTAACCTATCAATAATAATTATTAAAAAACTAAAATATACTAGATACTATATTGCACAATCTAACGATATTTCGGAAAAAACTGGAACAGAAAACTTGTCATGCATTTGTTCACATAGATTTGTGGTTAGTTTCATATCAGTGCACTGGTCGCCACTCAATCTGTCGCTAGCTAAGACGGTAGCAAATCGTGTTTGGATCACTACAGCCATTGTTTCAATTCAAACATGAGATATAATGAACTCGGTAAAACAGGAATTAAAGTATCTCATGTAAGTTTGGGAGGCGCTGCGTTTAGTAATATATACGGGTAATTATTTGCATATTTAATACAAAATAAATACTAATACTTTATTTTATTCTGGTGTTATTGTTGTTTACAGTTTGTTTTTATAATACTTGGTTTTATTGAGTAGAGACTGACGAAGTATTTATAAATTGTAGGTATTTCGTCAGATATAATATAAAGTGGCAATGACAAAGGCAGAATATTTATTAAGCGGCTGAGTTGTTATCATAGAGTAGTTAGGTATACTAACTATTTATATTACTACAACTACATAGTTATTATTGTTTACCTCGTTTTTATCCGTGTTTATTTTGTACCCGGCCTAGTGATGTGGCAACTCTTATCACTTTTTTATTAACTTTGACAGGAACGGTTTTGCCGTGACTTTGTATTCGATTTCTGAAACAGCTCTGTATAGGTCAAGGTCAAATTATACTTAGATCGTTGACATTGATTAGGTACGTTCGTTTGGTCACGGACACTCGCGACTAGTTTGTTAGGTATTTATACACATTGTTCTTACTAGCGAACCTAACTAATACAAAATGATCCATCTTAATTTGCAGTATTGTGTAGTTATGTAATTCAATTTACGTTACAAACCATATTAGGCTGATCATTCATTTTGTTGTAGGTAGGTAGGTACATTACTGCTGATAACATTTTTATTGTTTTATAATTTTGATATCTGCTTATTTTATTTGTTACTTACAAATAAAATAAGCAGATATCAAAATTTTTATAAATAATGCGTACCTACTTCTATTTGGTACTACCTATTTAGCAGTGACGTAGCGTGTCCTGCTAGCCAGGGATCCCTGTGACAAAATTAATTGGGGCCCAAACAGGGCCGGACTGACTGCATAGCGACTGTACTAAAACTTTTGAAGCGCCTCTTTTATTCTTAAATCTATAATTTATGTTTTAACATTCTTTAATTCACAAAATACAGATCTTTGGTTTTAGTTATTGGAAAAGTATCGAATTTGACTCATAGTTGACCCAATTGTATTTCAACAGACTGTAGGCACCTTAGGGGCCTTGGCCTTGGTACTTGTTTAAATTTGATCTTCGACATAATAATATCTAAGGAACTATAATATCTAACCCATGCGGATCCAGTTGTATTAAGTACTGTTGTGTTAAGTAATGAAGAGTAGAAAACCGGCACTGTCAGAGGCAGATTAAACTTGGTGAGCGCCCGACACCTAATGAGCCGATTTTTTTTTAAAGGGTGCCTTTATTTCTCAAGCGCCCCGTGGCGTCCCTTTCACAATCGGCGCCCAAGGCGATTTTTATAATTATTACATACTATACCCTGTAATAATAATTATGTATTAACTTTATTTGTCCATTTTGTCTAGATATATCTTCATGATAAGTGATTTACTCAGATTATCAGTAACTACCTATAGGTATCTATGTATAATAATATTTGTTTCACGAAGAATTCTCTAACAAATGAAGATGCCTCAAGTAATTATTAATATGTCTTATGTAATAATTAATCAATTATATTGTTTTGTGGTGATAAATTTGTAGGTAGATACCATAATATTGAGCGTGGTATACCTACTTAATCTCTACAAAATGTAGGCACATTTACGATATGGTCCAAACATTTTTGAAAACATAATTTTGTTTATAATATAAATAGGACAGCAGGTGTAAGTAGATAATACAGTGTATTGGCGACGAGAAGACTAAAAATAATTAAGAAGATATGCTTAATATGAAAACAGCAGCAATTTTGTTTTTTGCTTAAGTTTTGAGAATCTACGCTTTAACGAAAATATGTGTTGATTGTGCTTTTCAACCTACATTTTCCAGGACTTTATTTTCTGATCTCAAATCGACCGTTATTCATTTTATACCTTTTGAGCTATTGCTTGCATTTTACTCATTTTTGAAGCCTTGGACATGTTTATAGCTGGCTATAATTATTTCAAATATATTGTAATATTTATGTCCTTAGACTAAACAATAGGTTATTACTTATTATTATACAGAATACACAATGTTTACAGGTTTTTCTCAGGAGTATTTTAATGATTTTATTCATGCTATTTGTGTTTGTTACATAATTATTTATGAAACATCCTTAGATGAAGCGAAATATAAAAAGGTGCCTTGGTCTTTGGTACAATTTGGCGCCCCCACCATGATGGCGCCCCGCCTCAAAGAGCCAATAGACCACCACAGACGGGGCCCTAAAGGGCTGATGTTCAGCCGGGGTTGCGGGGTAAGCGCAATAAGGTACCGCGACCTCGGCACAGAGCAGGAGAAGGAACAGGGGGGTTTTTAGTCAGTAAGAGTCTGACACTCCCTCCTGCCCGGCCCTGGGCGGGAGAAGTCATTTGATGATTTTCCCCTCACAAAAAAAAAAAAAAAAAAAAACCATGATGGCGCCCGGTGCTGTGCTCTTAAACCAGACCGACCGGCCCTGACTACGTAACTATCACTGATCATAAACTCAGTCAGAACGTTCCAACTCTTTTGTCTCTGTCTTATATTATGTTCATTCAGATAATTATTTCATTCAAAACTCGACGGGCTCTTGTAATACGAATTATACAATGTTTGAAATATTACCTAAGTATTTCGAAATATGAACTTGTTAGTTCTATCTATCTTTTTCTCTCCGTAATTTTGATTGTCATGTATTTAACACCGATTTACAATATAATTATTTACGAGTCGTTTTGTTACGTAGCTAGATTT